CGCACGCGGGCACCCAAATGGGGTCATCGGTGGAGCTCTTTAGGGGCCACGAGGCGCTGAATTGGGTGGGGGGGACGCACGCGGGCACCCCCATTGGGGCCGTCGGTGGAGCTCCCTATGGGGCCACGAAGCGTTGTACTGGGCGGGGGGGGGGCGCATGCGGGCATCCCCACTGGGGCCGTTGGTTGAGCCCCCTATGGGGCCACGAAGCGCTGTACTGGGTGGGGGAAACGCAGGGAGGATGGAACAGGGGGAGGAGGGGGGGGAGGAGGCGAGAGGAGAGGAGGAACGCGGGGACCGTCTCTTCAAAACGAGGACCCAACACCACATGATGGTTGGGAATTTAGGTTTTACACGTAACAAACGCTATGTCCCGAATCAGATCGTTTGGGGAAAACTTGTCCTGGGGCCTCTTTCCTGTTTCCCCCCTCCTCCCCCCCTCCTCTTTTCTCTCCTTTCTCTTTCGCTCGTCGTCGTCGTTATCTTGGTCGTCGTCGTCGTTGTCGTTGTATTCGTGCAACGACGACGACGGCCTCCTCGTTCCTCGTCATGCATACCACACACGACTTGCCGGCACACATCGTTTATTATCCCCCCTGTGGCCCAGATTGTTATTATCCCCCGTGTGACTGACTATCTGGGGTGACCAACAGGAGACCATCACATTTGACACTTACGTTTCCACTTATTCAGGAGCTTGCATGGAGCCCATTTGGGCCGTGTTGAGGTTGTCTTGCGTTTCTTTGTGTGTGTGTGCGTGTGTTTGTTTGTGTCGGTGTCTGTGTCTGTGTGTGTGCGTGTGTGCGTGTAAGTTTGTGAGTGTGTGTGTGAGTGTGTGTGTGGGAGTCCGGGGGGGTTCTGAGGATGATGCCAAAACATAAAAAAGGCTAAGGCAAGACTAATCAATGAATGCGGCTTCTTCTCACCTTACTGGGGGTATACTTGAGGCCATCTCGGACCATCTTGAGGGCCTCTCGGGCCATCTTGAGGGCAACTTGAGCCACCTGGGGCCGTCGTGAAGGCATCTTGGGCCATCGTGACGGCATTGGTGGCCTCCCTAGGCCGTCTTGGTGGCCCGTGTGATTCACCCAGGCCGTCTTGTAAGCTATCTTGGGCATCCTGGACGCCTTTGAGAGCGCCATGGAGGCCTGGGGCCGCCCAGGGAGCCTCGGGAGAGTGCGGGGGGCGGGGGGGGGTGTTGCATGCAGCTGGTCGCTAGAAGAGGGGGGGGAGCCTTGGACGATGATTGCAGAAACCCTGCCAGGCAGCACTTGGCATTCTACCACGCCTCAGCGTGCCAGGGGCCACGGTGGCGGTACCATCAGTACTTTGAGAACTTGCAGCAGCACGCACGCATGATGCCCAAGAGCCACGGCCACACCATCAAGCACGAGCGGCATGAACGCACACCAGGCACGCATATACCCATGCCGACATACATGGTCAACTTGTAGCAATATATCGTCTCAAGAACATGGGCCAAGCCCGCACCACTCAGAAATGACAGTGGCCACATACATCAGAGGCAGACTCTATCATACACGCGGAAACGTCAGTGGTCCAACCTCAACCGCATGCAACAAGCACGTATACCAGTAACGCACATCAGAAACCATGCACCAATACCAGACCAATAGCAGGCGTTCTCTTCTTATGTCAATAGTTTCCACCGAGGTTGCGGATCAACCGCGCACATGGGCAACACGCGTCCATCACGCAAATCAGCACCTCACGGCAATGCCATCATTATGGTGATAAGTTTCGTCCGCATCACGCACATAACCGCACATCGATCGTAAACAATGGTATTAGCAGGCAACCTCGTAACATACCCGTGCCCCCCCTCCCACACTCACACGCATGTCTGCAGCACACTCATAACACATGAACTAATTTGCGAACGCCAATCGTATCTCATGTGTCCAACCACCACGCATGAGCAGCAGTCCCTGGGTGGAGATCTCTCGAAGCAAAATAGGCGGTGATGTGTTTCCATATCGCTTTCATTGTTTGCGATGCCAGTGTCATGTCGAGTAGGTCCACGGGGGTCGCATCCCGGCAATGCATGGCTGTCGGACCCGTAGGGTCGTGGCAGCATTCTGTACGCGTGGTATACGTGTTTCCGGAGGCTATGAATTAGTGGTGGTAACTATGGTGATCGTTATGTTCCTTCTGCATTGTGGTTCACACGGTGTGCGTTGCGACCCGCCCGCATGCGTATTGGGTCCCATATCGTTTCTGCAGACGGCGGGATAGTCATTTGCTGAATCGCACCTCAAAGCCACACGTATTGAATACGCCTACGGCAAATGACCGCCGCACCTTGCCTGTTGGAAACGTCCATGTGGCTAAACGCTGGCCCGAAACCTGGCGAAGCTATTGTAATATGTGTTCCCCCACAGCTGTTGTGGAACTCATTGGGGGAAACATTTGGGACAGGAGGAGGAGGAGGAGGAGGAGGAGGAGGAGGAGGAGGAGGAGGAGAGGGAGAGCAGGAGGTGGTGGAGGAGGAGGAGGAGGGCCTCTTGAGGCCCTTTTGTGGCCTTCTTGTGACCTCCTGGGGACTTCCTGGGAGCCTCTTGGGGGTCTCTGAGGGGCCTCTTGGGGGCTTCTGTGGGACCTCTTGAAGGCCTCCTGGGACCTCCTGGCGTCTTGGAGGTCTATTGGGCCGTCTGGGCGTTGTGGCCTCTTGGGCCGTCTTCGGGCCCTCTTGGGCATTCTTGCGGGCCTCTTGGTGGCCTCTTGGGCCGCCTTGGGGCGACATTGGAGGCCTGTGGCGCCGTCTTGGAGCGTCTTGAATCATTGAAAAACCAAAGGAGCATCAATGTTTCTGGCCTCCTGGAGGTCCTATTGGAGCCCTCTTGGGCGTTTTCACGGGACCTCTTGGGCCGTCTGGAGGACATTTTAGGCCGTCTTGATACCATTATGACTGCCTTGAGGACGTCTCGGGCCCATTTTGGAGGCCATCGTGGGCCATCTCGGCCGTCTTGGAAACATCTCATATGCCATCTTCGGCCATCTTGGCAGTCTTGGAGAGATTTGTTGTGGACGTTGAGGTCTTTCTGGGCCCTTTCGGGGTGGCTGGCGCATCAGGCCGAGATCCTCTGGGAGTGTTTGAGGAAACAAAATTGCCCAATGTCCAGCTCGCCGTGTACCATTGTGCCAAGCACATGGGGCGGAAGATCTACGGGCTTTCGCCCCATGCCGCCGCAGAGGCCTCTTGGATGCATAGTTGGGTCTCTTGGGATGCGTGACGGCGGCCTCATGGAGGGCTCTCGGAGGGCGCCTCGGATACCTCTCGGGGGCTTTGTTGGGGCCTGCTGTGGACCTCTTGGGGCCTCTGGGTGGAGGGCTCGATATGTCAGTCCGTCTTGAACCGTGTTGTGGGCAATGTTGGGCCGTCTCGGGGCGTTCTTGGGGGCTTCTTGGGTCGTTTTAGAGCGCCTGGAGTTCGAAAATGCAGGAACGCGAAATAATTGTTTTATTTGAGCAGGCCGAAAGATTTTCCTCTTGAGGCCCAGATGACACATGCGAAGTGTCGTTGGCTTTAGCGGATGCGGACGCAGCGATCATATCGCGTTCGCGTCGAGGTGGGGTGCGGCATATGTTATGGGAGGCTGCGGGAGTTGGCCAGGCCCGCTGTGGCGCTCGAGCACCCACATGTTATGGATGGTTCGGGAGTTGGCCGGGGCAGCTGTGGCGCTCGAGCAACGACATGTCATGGGAGGGGTTCGGAGAGGTGGCCAGGCCCGCTGTGGCGCTCGAGCTCCCGACTTGGGCACCGCGGTCGTTTTCCCTCCTCCTCCCTCCTCCCTCATCCGCCTCTTCCGTCCTCCCTCCTCGTCCTCCTCCCTCCTCGTCCTCCCTCCTCCTTCCTCCTCCTCCTCCTCCTCGTCCATCCTACCTCTTCCTCCTCTTGCCCTCCTTATGCCTCCCTCCCCCTCACTCGTCCTCCTCCTCCTCTTCCCTCCGCCCTCCTCCTCTCCCGCCTCCCTTCCACTTCCCTCCTCCCTCCTCTTCCGCCCTCCTCCGCTCTCGTGCTCCCCTCCTCCTGACTCTTCGTTTGCCCTCCTCCTCTTTCTCGTCTCTCCTCTTCTTCCTCGTCGTCGCCCTCTCCCTCCTTTCCGTCCTTCCTCCCTCATCTTCCTCTTCGCCCGCCCCTGGTTTGTGCTTTCCCTACTCGTCCCCGTGTGTTGTGTCTCTCGGTAGGGCAACCCCGCCCCCGTAGAATCATAGCTTGGGCTGCAGCTCCAAGGCTCCGTGGATCTATTTCCCCTTGGGTTCCTGGTAGGAATTATTAGTATTATGATGATGATGATTATTATTATGATGATGATGATGATTATTATTATTATTATTAGTATGCTTTAGCAGAAGAATTGGATCCACGACGCTTCCACGCCAAAAAATTGTATCCAGAAGACACAGGAATTGGATCCACGTGACTCTCGCACACACGTAATTGAATCCAAATGGATCCATGCGTTCCCATGTAAGAGGAACAAACTTTCGGCCTGGGGATGTAGAACGCCGATGATGCATCAATGATTTTTGCCTCTTGGGGCCCTCTTTGGGTCCTCTTGGAGTCTTCTTGGGGGCGTGTTGGGGGGGCCTTGGCCGGTCTTGAAGCCATCTTGAGCGTCTTGGAGCGCTCGTGGTCCGTCTCGGAATCCTCTCGGACCGTCCCGGGGTCCTCCTGGAACTTTGTTGGCCCGTCTTGAGGCCTTCTGTCCTCGGGAAAAGTCCTGCGAGATGCCCCACGGGTCACGCGACAAGGCCGGGAGCGCCCGGGAGTGCCCGGAATTCGGGGCTCAGGACCGGGGACGGAGGAGTCAGAATTCTTCAGGACCAGGGCACATTCCATTCATTGCTTCCCGGTACGGTGGCGGATATTTCAAAGTAGGCGAGTCCAAGACTCTGACTACAAGGTAAACCCACTTGCCTAACAGTTGAATGATCCTCATATGCGACAGTTGGCGTGATACGATCGTGACTGCCAGGATTGTATTGTGGCGACGCTTCTTCCTCTACCCTGGCGTTGACCCGCGGATTGTGCTCTTCTCGCGCCTCCACTCGTGTGGGGAGGACATGGTTATTATTTTTCGTGAGAGATGGTGAAGAAAGGAAAGGAGTGCAGAATTGTTGCAAGACAGGATGGGTGAGACAGTAATTCGAGGGTCTGAGGTTACCCTCATCCGTGCCTCTCTTACTGTTGTGCTCACGTGTTCGGAGCCTCCTGGGAAACAGAACGTTGCGATCTAGCACATTTGCTGATGAGCGCGATCATGATTGAAAGACAGGCAGCTATCTGCACTATATTTCGCCCGTTGTACATTTCAATGAGAGGGTGGAGGTCTATACGTGGCGAGCCCTCCAAGCCCCTGCAGTGGCTCACTTCTGTGTTTGCGGACCCTCGTGCCGCATTGCACTGTCATGAGTTGGCATTTACGGTTTCGTGTTGCATGTGGTTGCAGTTGTCGCGGAATTTAGGTCTTAGGGGTCTCATGAGACGCTCCCACGTTGCCCGATGCCCAGTAGTCCTACAGATCTCTCCAGGTTGCAGACGAGCGGTTTCGTATCCTTTCAATTTTTTCGAATGTAAGGCCTCCCACATGCTTGCGGATTGTTGGAGATTCCAGAAGATCTGCAGGATGCAGACACACAATTAATAGCCCAGACAAGGACGACCTGTCAGCAGGGTGCGACGACCACCAGAGCCAAGTGCCATCAGTTGATAAGAGTCCGGTGGATCGAGAGGGTCGTTGAAATAGTTGTTCTCGATGTTCGGAGCGATGAGTCACATTGATGCGTGTTTGTGTGTGTGTGTGTGGTAGCTGGACTGGCTTGTCTCTGCCAGCAGTGCATGCTATGTGTTGGGGCGGCGGCCGAAAGGGGCGCTAGCGATGTGGGCGCATGATGGCGAGGAAGAGGACGAAGAAAAGTGTGACTGTGTAGGGTTACCCGTCGGTCGTTGAACGTCTGCATTTCTGGATTCGCACATCCCAATGTACTTTAGGCGACTTCCTACTTCAAACGTCGAGCGGTGTTCCTGCTTCCTTCCTCTGCAGGGGGCGGGCCGAAACCCAATCTATTTGCAACGCCTTCCTACTTCATGTTTCTATCCACTTCTTCCGACCGACGTGTATGTTCATTGGTTGGGGGTTAGTGCCTTATATCCCTCGGAAGGATCGATATCTGGGTGTATCTGGTGGAATCTGGCTTATCTCACTTGCGTGTCTGAGATGCCTCCTGGAGTCTTCTCATGGTTTCTTGGGGGGACCCTTGGGGACCTATTAGGGGCCGCTTGGCGGCCTCTTGGGGATCTATTGGGGATGTGGGGGGCCGTTTGGGATATCTTCGTCTCTCTTGACCTGTCTCGGAAAGGCTTGCTTGAGACGCTCTTGATATATCTGAGGAGCCTCCGGGGGCCTCTGGGGGCACCTTAGGGGCATCGTTGGCCCTCTCAGGTGGTCTCGGAACGTCTTGGGGCGTTTGGGAGTGTTGTGGGGCTGTCATGGCGCCGTCTTGGGGCTATTTGGGGCCGTCTTGGACTCCTCCCGGGGCCGTCATGTGGGCCTCTTGTTGGCCTCTTGGACCGTTGGGTCGGTCTAGGAGCTGTCTGGATCACCTGGGCAGTCTTGGAGTTCTCTGAAACCTTCATGAAGCCATGTGGAGCCGAGAATCCGCATAGGCTGAACATTTTCACATTGCTTCAATCATTAAATACTCGTTGCTGTCCGGGGCCTCTCTTGGAGCGTCTTGAAGCCTCTATTGAGCCTCTTTTGCGCCTCATGGGGGCCCTCGGATCTCATGATGGCTTCCTTGGCATGTGCTTCTTGGGAAACTCATTGGGATGTTGGTGTTGTTTTGGGCCAGCTTTGCTACTGGAGAGCTCACATGGCGCCCCCCAGAAACGCCTAAAGCACAAGATCATTCCAGCAATCCGAGGGTCGGGGCCCTCAGGCATCAAACGCTACCTTCAGCATTCGCAAACGTATGAGCCCTGGTGCACTCAACTTCTTGTGAAGGCACGGTGGCCGATATACTGAACCTGCTCTACTCCCATTCGCTTCGTATGCCTTGTTCTTGCAGTGCCACGGTGTGACTTGCACATTGTCCCCGCCCATGCTGTTTCTTCATTGCCCCTTCCGAGCCACCTGTGGCCTGTTGATTATGTTTCCTGACCCTTCGCGCCCCTCCCTTCGCCTTCGCTCCCGTTTCGCCTGGGAGCGACGGTGCGCTTTCGCATCTTTCAAATTTGTTGCAGGCCGCAGTTTCAATCCGTTTTGTTCATTCGACCTTGGTGCCAGCCCTCAGTTTAGACTGGAGGGCAGTCATCGAACTGTCGTCAGGCAAAATGATCAGGGTCCCGCATCTCGCATTCCCCCTCCTCCCTCCCCGTCCCACAATCCTTCCTTCATCCTCCTTCCGAATCCATGCTCCATCTGGAAAGAGCGCCAGTGGATCACCTGGAAGACACAAAAGGGGGGGTGTGTTCCAGGGACCCCCCCCCCCCCTCCCCCCCTTAAGGGGGGGGGGGGGTCCGAGAACCCCCCCCCCCCCCTCCCCCCCTTTAAGGAGGGGGGGGGGTCGAACCCCTCCCCCCCCCCCCCTTTGAAAGGGGGGGGGGGGGGGGTCGGAACCCCTCCCCCCCCCCCCCCCCCTTGAAAGGGGGGGGGGGGGTCGGAACCCCCCCCCCCCCTCCCCCCCTTTCCGCAGGGGTCCGGTGCGAGCGAGCCGAGCGCGCGGACTGTTGGACGTAGGGGCCGTCGGGGGCAGGACTCTGAAAGCTTTGCGGGTGTGCGGGCGGGCCCGAATCTGCGCGCGAGGCGAGCGAGGTTTAGGGTTTAGGGTTAGGGTTAGGGGTTAGGGTTTAGGGTTTAGGGTTTAGGGTTTCTCTTAGCGCAGCGGCCGACAGTCCAGGCAGTGCTGCCCCCCCTTCGGCAAGCTTGATTGGGGGGGCGGTTAGCCGACCCGAGCAAGCTTGGCGAAGGGAGCAGGAGGTGCAACATCTTCCCACCCCCGGCCGCATGGCCGGCAACCTCCCAAACTACAGCCTTTTAGGGTTTAGGGCCGTTGGCCCCTAAATTCCCACATGCGCTCCCAGGCGTTACCAGGCGCTACCAGGCGCTCCCAGGCGCTCCCAAGCGCTCACAGGCGCTCCCAGGCGCTCCCCGGCGCTCCCCGGCGCTTCCGGCGCGTTCCGAAGCGCTAGGCGCTCCCTGGCGCTCCCGGGCGCTCCTAGGCGCTCCCAGGCGCCCCAAGCGCTTCCAAGCGCTCCCAGGCGCTCCCAGGCGCTCCCGGCGCGTGCCCAAGCGCTCCCAGGCGCTCCCTGGCGCTTCCAGGCGCTCCTTGGCTCCCAAGCGCTCCCGGGCGCTCCCAAGCGTTCCCGGCACGCCCCCAGGCGCTCCCAGGCGCTACCAGGAGCTCCCAGACGCTCCCAGGCGCTCCCTGGCGCTCCCTGGCGCTCCCAGGCGCTTCCAGGCGCTCCCAGGTGCTCCGAGGCGCCCCCAGGCGCTCCCAGGCGCTCCCAGGCGTCCCCGGCAGTCAGAAGAAAAGGTCTTTGGGTTTAAGGTGTTATATTCGTTGAGGATCAGGGGAGGTTTATCATTGAAGCGCGAATCCCCAAAAGAGGGGGAGGGCAGCAGCAAAAGCTGCCAGGGCGAACCACTCGGGCTACATGCTCAAGCATCTCAGAGAAGCCTTGTCTCTCGTAGACGGCGACGGTGATGCGCGGTGGGGTGGGCAGAAGCACAACGAGGTGCTTGGGAATTTAGGGTTTAGGGTTTAGGATTTAGGGATTAGGGATTAGGGTTTAGGGTTTAGGGTTTAGGGTTTAGGGTTTAGGGCTTAGGGTTAAGGGTTTAGGGCCTGCAGGGGCGCATGCCCGCGCTGGCTGCGATCCCCCCCACATCAAGGTTGTTGGGGGGGGATCGCTGCCCAAGCCGCGCGCGCTATGAACTTGCACTCCCGCCCCAGACCACCCACAGTAAAGCCCTTTAGGGTTTAGGGTTTCTCCCCCCAGCCCCCTTATCACGGGGGGCTATCGAAGTGGCGCGCGCAGGCGATCGCCGACGCGGCCGCGGCGTTGCGCATCCACGTGAGCACGCGCGCAGGGCTGCCCCTGGCGCAGCATGTCCGTGCGTTGCCGTTTTGCCTTCGGCACTGGGTTGTGACACTGGGGTGCGAATGCTGGGAAGCGCGCGCGCGGTCGCGGCCGTGGCAATGCGCGCCCATGCGGGCACGCGCGCAGGGTGCATGGCGCTCGCGCGTCAGCTCGCCTCGTCGATGAGGCAGCCGCATGCACCTTCGGCGTGGAGCTTCGCCGGTCGGCGGCCGCTGGCGCAGCAGTTCCACAGGGGTCCGGCATTTGCCTTCGGCATTGGAAAGCAGCACTGCGAAGGCGCTGGCGTGACAATACTATGGGTCCCCCTGCGCCTCAAGCGAGTGGCTGCGCCGTCGGGCTCCTCGCTGACGGCGACGCGCACGGCAGTTGCATTCGCCCGCGGCTTTGGGTTTCGCCTTTGGGGTCGCCCCCGCTGAAGCGATTGCAATCATCGACGCAGACGCTGTCGACGCGAGATTCGGAAGGCGGGAGGAGGAGCGCGAGGGGGTGGGTGTGGCACCCTCTCGCTACGATGCGCGCGCATGGCTGCGGCAGCACCTCCACGGCAGACCCCTTGAAATGCTTGGGGGGATTTCTGTGGAAGCCAGGGTCGGCCTCGCCCTTGCGCCCGCTGCGGCCGCGGCCCACGCCCGGCGCGGCGCCGGGCGGCCTCGGGGCGCTCTTTGCGGCCTCGGGGCGCTATCTCCGAGCTATCTTTGAAGGGCGCCACAGACGGCGCCTTCGGCCTCGCCCTTGCGCCCGCTGCGGCCGCGGCCCACGCCCGGCGTGGCGCCTGGCGCTCTCTGGGCGCTATCTCCGAGCTATCTCTGAAGGACGCCACAGACGGCGCCTTCGGCCTCGCTCCCGCGCTCGCTGCTGCCGCGGCCCACGCCCGGCGTGGCGCCTGGCGCACTCTGGGCGCTATCTCCGAGCTATCTTTGAAGGGCGCCACAGACGGCGCCTTCGGCCTCGCTCCCGCGCCCGCTGCGGCCGCGGTCCACGCCCGGCGTGGCGCCTGGCGCTCTCTGGGCGCTATCTCCGAGCTATCTTTGAAGGACGCCACAGACGGCGCCTTCGGCCTCGTTCCCGCGCCCGCTGCGGCCGCGGCCCGCGCCTGGCGTGGCGCCTGACGCACTCTGGGCGCTATCTCCGAGCTATCTTTGAAGGACGCCACAGACGGCGCCTTCGGCTTCGCTCCCGCGCCCGCTGCGGCCGCGGCCCACGCCTGGCGTGGCGCCTGGCGCACTCTGGGCACTATCTCCGAGCTATCTCTGAAGGGCGCCACAGACGGCGCCTTCGGCCTCGCCCCCGCCTTTGCGCCCGCTGCGGCCGCCGCCCACGCCAGGCGTGCCTCGGGCGCTCGTGAGCGCTATCTCCGAGCTATCTTTGAAGGATGCCACAGTCGGCGCCTTCGCTGCCGCCTTTGCGGCCGCTGCGGCCGCCGCCCACGCCAGGCGTGCCTCGGGCGCTCGTGAGCGCTATCTCCGAGCTATCTTTGAAGGACGCCACAGTCGGCGCCTTCGCTGTAGCCTTTGCGCCCGCTGCGGCCGCGCCCACGCCAGG